CCAAAGACTGAAAGGTTTCAGGAATGCACTTTTCATGATGAGCTAATCTAAATGACCACAGCTGATCACAGTTGAAAGTCAAATGGCTTTGTGTGCCATTGAGAAGGTGATTAGCCAAATCTGATTGAGTTTACAAGTCATTTTAGGAGGGAGGGGGAGGGGGTGTCCTTTTTCCAACTTCCAACTTTCTTTTCTATACCCATATACCCACTGAAAAGTCGAAATTATGACATACTAAGTCATAATTATGAGAGAATAGTCAAAATTATAAGATATAAAGTCAATTATGACAAAAAGTCAATTAAGACAAATCGACTTAGAATGTCGTAATGTCATCACTTTATGTCATATTTATGATTTAGTACGTCAGTTTTGTATTTTTATGTCATAATTTCAGCTTTTTTGGTCATAATTATGACTTACTATGTCATAGTTCCATACTTATATCTTATAATTATTACTTAGCAAGTTAAGCTGTTTATTTCATAATTATAATTTTTTATTTCATAATTATGATTCAGAAAAGCACACTTTTTTTTTCTTATGTGGCAGAAATGGGCTTTCATACACTCATTTTGTTTCAATCTTGTATGACTTTCTTTCTTATGTGGAACCCAAAAGAAAATATTTTGAAAAATGTCACAGTTTTTTTGTCCAAATAATGAATGTCAGAGATGTTGTTTATAAGTTGCCCGTGACTTATTTCAAATTGCAATATTTTATTTCTAAATAATACATTTTAGTAACATCTTGAAAGTTACTGTCTGATCACACTCACATTTACATAATCTCTGCATTTACATAAGTGACAGCACACTCATTCACAGAACTGGCATAAAACTTGAACACCTGAGTTTCAGGGTACAATTAAAACTTGTGCTTCAAAAGAAGTACTTTTTTTTCTTCCAAGCTCTCAGGGACAGAGTGTGTGGGCACTGCATCTGTGCAGGGGAGGGATAGGCTGAAGAGGAACTAGAACAAAAGTAGACTGTTGTAAGAGTACAAGGCCATGAGGTAGTTTGCTACACAAGCAGAGGCAGCGGCTATACAGCCCATTCACGACAACAGTCTGTTATCCTCTAAGGGCCATGCCAGAGCGCTCTCTCCAGAGAGAAGGGATGAGAAATATTCAGACAGCACAAAAGATTGCTCGCATTCAGACGCAGAAACACACACGCCAGTTATGTGAGCTCGCGTGAGTACACCCACACATGCCACACTCCTCCTTATCCTGTCTTTCATTTCTCTTTCCATCTTTTCAATAATCACATATGGTAAATATATATATAAAGGTATATTTTTACTACACAATTTTTATCAGCACAGTAACATTCTATCTATCTATCTATCTATCTATCTATCTATCTATCTATCTATCTATCTATCTTCACGGACTCAAATGTGCATTTCAATACTGCAGAATTTGTCCACCAAGCTGTCTATCGATCATGAGTTTTTGTTTTATAACCACTAGATGGTGCACTCTCTCTCTCGCTCTGCTTGCATTTTTGACCGTGTCTGCCTTTACTCCCGGCTTCCAGCTGTAGTGTGACTATTGAGCGAGATGCATTTCACAGATCGATATGTTTCATTATTTGGAGTCCAGACGTACAGATCAGGGGAATACAGTTTTTTATTAAAGTTCACCGAGAAGAGAGGTAGCGTTGAACAGAACAGGAAATAAAAGTATGTCCATCCAATGGGAGATGGGACTGACTGTAATTTCAACGACCATGATGTCTGTCCTCCACATACACATAACAGCTGAAATATTGTCAAACTTACTACTGGAGAAGAAGATGGCATGGATCAGTTTGCGTGCAAAATATTACTTCGGACTGCTATGTTTTTGACACCCTGCCAGTCAGTTGGTTCCTGAACACACAAACACACTGGTACTCCTCTCCTAATTCCTCTTATGCACTTTGTCACATCTGTGGGTATATACATTTGCCAAATCTTCTCCTCATTTCCATACAGAAAACAAAACAGTAATTTATAATGACGAAAAAACAAAAGATTTGTTCAGCAAGATTACAAATTCACTATTGTAACCTAGGCATTACCTGCTATAAGGCACTCATTAAGGACACAGTGCAGGCTGGCTCTCTGGCTGGTTCTCAAGCTGAAGGCAGCTGGTGGCCTCTCGGCTGCTGGGCCAGTCTGCCTTGACCCTGAACACATGGTCAACTTAAGCTCTGATTGGCTGGGCTCAGGCCACAGCTGTGCACAGAGCAGGTCAACAACTGAATCAGCTGTTAATCACAGGAATCAAGCTCAGGCAAATCTCTGCCGTAAGTATGTAATTTACTCCAAGAATAAAGGTGAGTATGAAAAATGAGTGGTTTTCATTTAACAGTTTTATATGTAGAATCTTTTATCCTGATCTTCCACTTGCTTTCTCAGTCACTTGGCCCAACGTGAGTGAGAAAAGGAGGGGGCGGATGGGGACCTCACAGTCTCTCTTATAGGAATACATAGCAAAGT